CATATCTATGTTCATATCTATGTCCATATCTATGTCCATATCTATGTCCATATCTATGTCCATATCTATGTTCATATCTATGTCCATATCTATGTTCATGTCACCGTCGCTACTTTTTTCTTCTTCGTTGTTGCGGCTGAGAAACAACGTGATGGCTCTTTAGCGCCCCCAAGCAGAATGGAGTCACTTTTTTTGTATGTTAAAAACGATAAAAGTATTAAAAACTTTTAGTAGTTCATTCATACAAATTTCTAAACAATTAAGCACAAAAATTAAATGAAAATTACACAAACTATTTAGCAGTTAAAGTTATGTAGGTCCTCTGGACGGTTTCCTTTTTGTTGAAATGTATTTAGGGGTTAATAAGCAGTTAAAATCTTTGTAAACAATGTTTTATTACATTGTATTTAATTAATGTACTACATATAGTATTTTAGGTCCTAAAATTTGTTTTCATTGACATGATGATGAAATAAAACATGACAAATCTGTAATTGAATATAAACAAGTCTGTAGCAGGGGTTGGTTCAGTTACAGGTGAGAAAAAGTTTCAGGGACCTCCTCATAACCCTCGTTTATTAATTAATATTCTTCAATTTGTCTCTTTAATGCAATGGAAATATTTGTGTAACATAAATACTTAAGACGTGTTCTTTAATAGCGTGAATACAATTTTTAAACTTTAAAACTAAACACACAAATATTACACACTTCATTTTTTTATTTCAACTTCCAAAAATTAGAGTTTTGAGAAATTGAACAGTATTAAAAACCACTTTAAATTTCACCTATTCACACTTCACTAACATCAATTATTACCATTTCTTCAAATTATTACAGAAAACTCTTTACATCAAACTGAACAGAATCATAACGGCAGTAGTCATACCAAGGAACAGGGCTTCAATTGTAAACCAATCGATGCCGCAACACAAACAGCAGTCTGGGGGTCCTCCCCAGAGAACTTTGAATAAAGTTGATGTGTTTTCCTTCATTTTGGTGCATTTTAACTGGTTGTTAAAACATCTATGTGCTTGTAAAAAAAAATTAAGAAAGAAAGAAAAAAGTATGTATATACAGTAATCCCTCGTTTATCATGGGGGATCCGTACCCTGAAGCCCCGCGATAAGTGAAAAACCGTAAAGTAGGAATAGTAGTACTAGTAGTAAGTAGTAGTTTATTTTAGTATTTATATAGATAGATATTAAGGCATTTTCAACCCTTCCACACTCTAGAAATATTGCTTAGAATATTGCAAAACTCTAAAGCTCTAAAAGAGACAGGATGTCATGATTTCAGCTCCCTGCCTCCTCTGCTCTTTGCCACCTGCAAGCGCTCTTGGCCACGCCCACTTCTCCTCTGCACGCTGAACAGCTGATCAGCTGCAGCAGGAAGTTTATCCTGCTGCAGTAAGGGCTGCACAAAGGTGCAGCAGGTGCTAAATAATTAAAATAATTTATTTAAAATAAAAATTTAATGCAGATCGTGCAGCTCATCCATCAATCAGGAGGTTGTGTGTCATGTCCAATCTTATTTTGAAAAACCGCAATAAGAGCGAATCCGCGATAAAACATGGCGAAGTAGCGAGGGACTACTGTACACACATGTATATCTGTCTGTCTGTCTGTCTGTCTGTCTGTCTGTCTATCTATCTATGTGAACTTTCATGTGACGAGATTGATGAATCGATAGATCGATAGATTGTGAGATATACACACACTTTTTTTTGCGGACGCCCAGGGGTCTGGAGAACCCAGTTTGAGAACTACTACTGGTCTTTAGTAATAAAAAAAAAAAAAAAGAAAAAAGAATAGACATCTTTAATTCACTTAATGCAGACATGTTCGTTAATCTCAATGTTTAAACTTTTTAATCAATGTTTTTAACAAGATAACTCTTCATGACCTGCATCGGAGTTCAAATAACTAAACTCAGCTGGTTCTACTCGGCTTCAGTCTGAGCTACAAAAAACTAGAGTTGCACTCGGGTCTAAAAAAATCCGGTCCGGCCCAAAACCATAGGTTTTTTTCCAAGCCCGACCCAGAACCGACAGCTTAACTGTAATTACAGGTCCGAATCTGAAAAAAACACCTTTTTTTTTATATTAAACTTTCACTGCTTTTGTACGCAAATCAGTTTGACATGATTTTAAAATGTATTTCAAAGAAAGGAAGATCTAAGATTTATTGTTTATTAACAAGAGTCGGAGGATTATTATAGTTAATATAATATTATAGTTATTAACAGTTGGTGAACGCGTTCGGCTGATGAGCCAAACTGGGTCGTCGGTCCCGCGGGTCCACTGATGCAATCAAAAGCTCGACACCGATCCAGCCCGCCTATCCAGCACAATATTTTGGCCCGACCCGAAACCAGGGCCCGGGCCTGCCTGGCCAGAAACTCGGGCCAGGCCAGGCCTCGAGCCCGGGTTAGAAAGGACAGCTCTACAAGAAACCCAACAACGTTTGCTGGAACAAACTTCTGTAAACACGGACAGGACTCAAGGCTTTCTAACGTTTCTCCTCTTGAGTTTTATTCTTCTCCTCGCTGGTATCATTTAGTGAAACTTCTCCACACATGACAGAAGATCAGCTCAGCCTGTGTGAACTTTCATGTGACGAGATCGATGAGAAGTGTGATTAAAACGTTTTCCACAGGTTTGACAGGAAAATGGCTTCTCCCCTGTGTGAATCAGCATGTGCCTTTTATTGTCGGAATTGGTACTAAATCTTTTTCCACAAATTTTGCAAGGAAAAGGCTTCTCACCAGTGTGGCTTCTGATGTGGATGGCTAAATTACTATAAGCATGGAAGTTTTTACCACAGAGGGGACAACAGTACTGCAGTCTGTCAGAGCTCTGGCTCCTAACTTTGTGGAACTTGATGTGACGGCTCAGAAGTGAATTATCTAGAAAAGTTTCTCCACAGATTTGACAAGAAAACAACCTCTCAGATGTTGCCAATTGGTCTGCTTTGTTACCGAGTCGATTGTCTATGCAATCAGTCTTTGGTGACCACTCTGTACTTTCATATGACACTGAATCCTGATCCTGGTCCTCAGGTCCAGCAGAACTATGATAGATGTGGTGCTGCATGTCTGGTTCTGGTTCACTTTCTTCAAACAAAACGGGCACCATAAACGGATCAGTCTCCTGCTTCAGGTGGAGCTGATCGTCCTGATTGCTGCAGAGCTCCTGCTCTTCTTCTTTGATTATTGTAGATTCTGGTTCTGGTTCCTCCTGGTCCAGGCTGGAGTTCTTCTCCTGGTTGCAGAGCTGCTGGTCTGTGAGGACCAGTTCCGTCCTGTGGACTGATTCCTGTTGGAAGTCTGAAAGGCCAAAACAACAAAACAAAGAGGTTCAGATATGTTCGGATAGTCACGGTAGTTTATTAATTTTTTACTTGAGAAAAAACAAAATTCGAGTGCATGACTCCATGGGCAGTGGCCGAAGACGGGAGCCTTGGCGCTCTGACCCTGGCTTACCAAAGCTGCTCTTGGGACATGGAATGTGACCTCTCTGGCAGGGAAGGAGCCTGAGCTTGTGCACGAGGTACCGAATAGATACATTGTATTTTACGTTGTACAAGTCCTGTTTTTTTTTTTTTGCATAATTTACATGCCCTGAGACTTGTAGGCCGAAGCAACATATTTATGTATTTTTTCCACATTTATAATCCAAGGCTGAGATATGACTGTTTTCATTCATTCAAACAGGAAATATTGAACAGTAACATTTTCAGCAACAAGATGGCAGTCGAGTAGTAAGGCATGCTGTTGTATCATGTAATGGAGTTAAACTCAAAGCAGTCTGCTCCTCAGACAAATAATGTTAAATTATTTTTAAATATGAATGTTTCTGTTAACTTATTTTATACATTATTTTTTCTGTTCAGTGCCCTGAGATGACTTCTGTTGTGACTTGGTGCTTTATAAATAAACTGAATAAACCAACAGACCGCAGACTGTGAGGATCCACAACTTCTCCTCCTCCACCATAACCCTTAGCACTGACTCCCCAGAGGGCTGTGTGTTGGAAGAACAACCTTCTCATCAATGTGAAGAAGACGAAGGAGATGGTCGTGGACTTCAGACGGTACAACACACACCGACCCCCCACCCCCACCCCCAATATAGGATCTGCGGTGGAAGTGGTCTCCAGCTACAAGTACTTGCGTGTGCACCTGAACAACAACACCATCAGCCTGATCAAGAAAGCTCATCAGAGACTCTACTTCCTCAGGCGGCTGAGGCGAGCTGGTCTGGGAAGCTCAGTCCTCACCTCCTTCTACAGGTGTGCAGTGGAGAGCATCCTGTGCTCGAGCATCAATGTGTGACATGGAGGCTGCACAGCTGCAGAAAGAAAAGCTTTGCAGAGAGTGGTGAAGGCTGCACAGA